TGGCCGGGGACAGCGCAGGTTGGAGGAGGGCTCGGGGAGCCCCCCGGCGCCCGGCTCCGGGCCCCTGGAGGGGGAGCGGCACGGAGGGGCGGGGCGGGGTGTGTGTAAATGTTGCGCACTCGCTTTTCCCCCACCCCCGCCTTCTTCCAGGGTGCTGGCGTGGGTTCCTCGCCGTCCGGCGGCGACTGTAAATAGAGCCTGGATGTTGTTTACATGAAGGATCCGGCGGGAGGAGTCTGCGAGGAGGAGGCGGAGGAGGAGGAGGAGGAGGGAGGGAGGAGAGAGGAAGACCGGAGTCCCCGCGGCGGCGGCGGTCCGGGGTGAGGGCGAGCCCGGCGCGGCGAGTGTGCCTAGGGGACCAAGCGCTACCACGAGGCCGGGACGCTGGACCCTGGGGTAGGCGGGAGAATGGGAGCGGGTGTGTGGGGCGGGAGTGTCTGTCAGAGTGGCATTTTTAGCTTGTGCCCTGCCACGCAGATTCTCTTAAGCCAGAAGGAAGGGAGTGTGGAGGGAGAGCGGGGAAGCCTCGTTTTCTCCGCACGTTCGGGAACGCCTCCCCCCTTCTTTCTCCCATTCCTGGTCTTTTCCCGCTTCTCTCTGGGCTCACCTGTTTATTTCCATCAATCAGAGCTCTAGTTTTTTATGTTAGTGTGAGAGACTGTTTCTTTTATTAGAAACATTATTGGGGAGGGGGGTGTGTGGCTGTAATTTATGCTGGTCCAGGTCGGTTTTCAAGAAGGGGGAGGAGACTTGGAGGATACCCCAGCTCCTGGCCGTAGCTGACCCCACCGCCTTCCCTGCGGAATCCTTTCCCTCACTCCGCAGCCCGCACGCCAGCTGCCACCTTACTGGAGAATAACCACACCTATGCTTCTATCCGCTTTGGAGAAGAGGTGAGCTGAGAAACCAGGGAATCCCCTGTAGCTCCAGGTCTCTTAGCTAGAACCCCAACACCCTAGAATTGGCAGAAAGCGCACCTTTCACCTGCTGATTGCGTTCAGCACATCTGTCTTCAACCTCCTGGCAAGTTGTGGTCCACAGTTGTGTCGGGATTTTTCTCTTCCTTCACCCCTGTACCCTACCACTGGCAACCAACGGCTGGGCTTAGGTTGTGAAAGGGAGAGGTGGTCCCCTTGGGCCCAGTGTGCTGTGTTTTATTCCCCAGTGAGTCTTCCAATCGAAATCTGCTCACATCTTGCAGTCCCCTCTACCCTTCTCCTAAACTTAGCTCAGAAGCAGGCCTAAGCAGCCTGTCTTCTGGCTTTTTTTTTTCCCCTGGGCGGCACCCTGGCCCCTTTTGGTTTTCCAGAGCCAAACACGCCTCCCAAGCAGACGGCACACCCAGCCCCAAGTCTAACCATTCCAAAGGGAGGAGGAAACAAGGGAAGAGAAGGGACTTAAGGGTTTCTGTCTGGAATATCATAACAGTATTTCCCTCTTCAAGCCTCCTAGATATATAATCCCTGTGTTATTCTTACCAACGTGTTATTCTGTTATGACTGTGTTATTCTACCACCCTTCTTGCCCCTGGTCCTTCATAGATTATTGGAGGAAGAAGATGGATAGAGAAAGAGATGGTCACCCTTATTCTCTAGAAGGAGACATTTTTCTCCTTTCATTTGTGACATATTCAGCATGTAAAATAAGTAAATGTTTGGACGCTTATTTGAACTTGTTTTCTTCTTGGCTAATGAATAGCTGGAACTCCACAGGGAAGGAGGGGAGAAAGATGCCCCAGAGTGTCCCCTGCATTGCCAGGGAAGACCCTTCTGTAACAGCTAACAGTCTCCCTTCCATGACATCACCACCTAAGCCCTTCCAACTTTAGCTTCAGAACAGGAAGAAGGCCCAAAATAGAACTACCTTAGGAATCCAGCTCCTTTAAAAGATCAACTTTTAAATCAGCTGCAGGAGGAACACAGTGAACTTTGACAGGGGGAGTGAGAAGGTAGAGAAAGCTGTGATGTTTGTAATTGGTTCCTTGGGGGGGAAGAGAGGGAAGATACTTTCCAGGTATTTCAGAAAGCTTTTCTCAAGATAGATTCAGGTACCCAGAGCAATGAATGATTAATAGTTTGGTTTGAGATTTATTTATTGAATTATTCATATGTTTCAGTATGTCAACAAGAATAAGCACTTTTCAGAATTAGTTAAAGAGGGGCTCCTGGAATGTGCTCTATGGTGTGTATAGCTACAAAGGTGGTTGGGGGAAGTTAGGAGGGGGCACTTGAAGAAGGCAGAGATTCTGAGGCTCAGTGACAGCTGCTCTATGTAAGTTGAGAGGCTCATTATAAACAATGACCGCAAAGTAACTTTTGCAGGGTGACAAACATCCCAGACAAAGGAGTAACAGTGTTGGGATTTTCTACCTTTGCCTTGTAGAGTCTTTGAATCTCAGTGTCTCTTTTTATGCCCTTAAATCGAAATGAGCCTTTCTCTCTTTACTAAGCAGCCCTTCCCAAAATTGTCTAGGGAGGACTGCTTAGTAAATGATCAGTCACTGAAGTACTGACGACTTAAAGGATTGGAAGTGGGGCAGAAAGCACTTGACATAAGTTGAGTGCCTGGTAGATACTATAGAAGGACTTGCTGGTTGATGAGCAACATCTTTTGTTCTGATTGAGGTTTAAAAGAATCAAGGTACTAGAGACAGGATTGCCTTTACCTGCATTAATAGGGTAGCTGCTAGCCACATGTGCATCAGTCAGCCTCCTGAAATGGCTAAGATGAGCTGAGTTCTTAGTTTTATTTAATTTTCAAAATTCACACTAAGTCAGTTATCGGAATACTTAAATATGTTTGAAGATATATTGGGCATATGTATATCCAATTAAACTAAATATTAAGAAATATAAACACAGATTAACTACTTCTTGAAAATTTAGCATTGGAATTGGGAATTGGGCTGTAAAAATAAAATACACTCCAGATTTCAAAGACTTAGTAACAACAACGACAAAAAAGTAAATAGCTCATTAATAATTTTTATATTGATTACATGTTTAGATAATGTTTTGGATATATAAAGTTAAATTTAAATAAAGTTAATTTCACCCACTGATTTTTTTTTTAGCCTTTTTAAAAGTGGCTGCCAGAAAACTTAAAATTACATATGTAGCTTATATTATGTTTTTTAAAAAATATATATTTTTATTCAACACATAGCACTTGAACATACAATGTGATATTTCAATATGTGTATACAGTGTGTTACGTTATACTTCTTTTGGACAACTCTGGTCTATAGTATTATTCCTTTTTGTCCATGGTTTAATTTCAAAAGAGGTGATTGTGTGAAATATTACTTCATATTTGTCAGCCACCTACTTTCTACTGCTATATTCCATGTAAAGATTTGGGAATTTCAAGAGAATTAAAAGTATTTCTGTATGAGACCTCCTGGTGACTGCTTGGTAGATTTCTATTTAGGAGCTGTATCCTACTAAGGGAGGGAAATAAAAAATTTGAAGGTTCTCTAGAATCTGCTAACCTTGAGGGGCTAGCAGGGGTGTCGGTAGGAAATTTTGAGTACCCATATACCTGGCCATAGCTGCTTTTGTAAAAGGCTTCTGGGCATAACATAATACATCAGAAAACAGTTGTGACACCTGTTGGGGTTTTAATGATGTTACTCATTCATTACCTTCATTTACTTTCTATTTAATTTTTTCCTTTCCTTCAGTTACTTTCTGCCCCCCACATCAGGGCTCTACCAGTAGTAATTAGGCTCACAGTGTAGCTGGCTACTTTCCTCCAAAAAAGACATGAATGGCAATAGTACTGTCTTTGGGGTTTTGTTTTGTCTAATGAGATTCAGTAATGCACTGGAGGGGATTTAGAGGCCTTTTGCTACTATCCCCTCATTTTATAGATGACAAATGGTCAAGTACCTTGTAAGATCGTACAGACTGGAATTAAACATGCTTTTGTTGATAATCTGATTTAGAGGGTTCCTGAAAAAAAATGAAGAGGCTAATCAATTAGTCAAATATTTGTTGAGCTTGTACTTTGTGCAAATGTCTGAGAGTGTTTGAAGGGACATGAAGAAAACAGGTTCTGACTTTAGGAAGAGGGCTGTTGACTTCAGGAAGCAAGACATAAACAGTGTCGAAGTGTACAGCACAGCACTTGGTATGCGCAGTGCCCTGTGGTGTGTTACAAGTATAAATGTGTTTATTTTACACTTGGAGGAGTAGAAGCTGTGAGAATGGTGGATTCTGCAGAAAAGTGGAGTGTAATTGTGTTTCTGGAATGGCCTGCAGCTCTAGAATTGGAGGTCAGTGGCAAGTCTTTAGTATTGTCCCCTTTAGCTATCCATTAAGGGAATCTGAAAACCTAAGATCCAGCATTTTTAAATGGCAGTGCAGTGGTAATGAGGACATCATAGTTTTTTAGGCACGATTAATCGAGACTGTTTTGAGGTTAACTGGTGTATTTTTGACCAGTTATTCTAAAAGGGTACAATACAGAGGTGAACTCAGAATGAAACTGACTCGTGAGCAAACCGTAAAATCCAAAGTCTGGGAGGTGGGGAGAGTGCATACTAGAGCAACATCAGAAGGCTGAATAAACATGGAGTAGACAGATTAAAAAACACTTATGCTGAATTTCATGTATGAAGTTTTGGAAAAGGTCCATAAAATAGACTATATGAACTAGTTCATTTATTTGTAAATTTTTAGTCCCCTGGATCCTTTCTGGACTAAAATCCCAGTCAGCATAAGCGAAGAAAGGTCATTTCTCTCTATGTGTTACTGCAACAGTGTTTTTGTCCATATGGCTGCTAAGGTTTATAGCCTGAGACTGTTTAGAGGCCAATGTATGAAGCAGGTAAAACAGTGACACCATTCTGTAATTACTCCTAGTTAATGCTCCTCTTGAAGATTGGACGTGAATTTGCACAGGGCAGTGATCCTTGGCTTTTCCTTGCTACTTTAACAATTTCATTCTCCTTAAACTAGAAAACAATCTGAGCCAGGCCTGGTGGCCTGTAATCCCAGTGGCTAGGGAAGCTAAGGCAGGAGGATCGAAAGTCCAAAGCAAACCTCAGCAATTTAGCAAAGCTAAGCAACTTAGACCCTGTCTCCAAAAAAAAAAAAAATCTGTAACCTCTTCATTCTAGGTTTCCCACAAATCTTTGGCACAAATTTAAAAAACTATTATATAGCAAAGTTTGCCGTGAAATGCAGGTGTACATGCTGTATACTTCTGACAACGCAGAGGTTGACCTTTGTTTTGATTTTGTTTTGTATAACTGGGAGATGGAATCCAGGATTCCATCTCTTAACTCCTGAGCTGTGTTCCCAGGCCTTTTATATTTTATTTTGAGACAGTGTCTCCTGAGTTGTTTAGTGCCTCACTAAATTTCTGAAGCTGGTCTCAAATGTGCAATCCTCCTGCCTCAGTCTCCTGAACTGCTGAGATTACAGGCATGCACCACCTTACCTGACTGAGAAGTTAACATTTGAGCATTTTTTTGCTTACAGTACATTTTTACAGCATCACAGTGTGGTCACATTTGTACAATTATGATTTGTCATTAAATTGGGTTATGATTTTCAAATAGGGGGAAAAAAATCTCCCTTTAGTTAAAAGAACAGTAGATTTAAACAGCTATAGTTTTAAAATACTTTGACATTCCAGCAACTTGTTTCACAGTATTTCTAATTATTGAGTATATAATTGATGTTTAAAGGTTTAGAAGCATGTGTTTCATTTTCAGTTTGTAGATAATAAGAACATCATGTGTGTTTTGAATATACATTTGTATTCCACCAAAGAAGCAAGTTCTTTGGTATATCAACAGTACAGAAGTACTTGCTTTTCAAGCTAGTATTTGGGGCATGCATCATGAAGAAATAGCTCTATTTTATCATTTTGCTTAGAAGAGCTGCATTTAAAATCAGTTTGTTCTTTGGAGGAAAGTATTTGGCATCACTGCTTTCTCCTCCCCTTACTTTACAGGGTGCTTTCTTCCTATAGCCTGAGTACCTATGGAAACTTGTTTTTAATGAAAAAAAAAATCTTATTAAAAAAGTATATAGAAAAAGAAATGTTTCTGGTAGGTTTTGTTTTTCAAAAATGTACATTTACAAAGAGTAATGTCTCAGAAGAAACAAAACTACACTTTTGAAGCATTTATTATTATTTAAAAATATTTGGGAAATATGTTTTTATTCCTCTGAAGTTGCTTTTGAATTAGTCTAAGGGAATGTAAATTTAAGTATTAACAGAATAATGACAGTTTGCTGCTTAGCCTTTTTTTTTTTTTTTAACCAATTTAGGTAGGAAAAAAATGAGAGGAAAAAATAGTTTAAAAAAGGAAATATCTTTTATTTTACCAAAAATGTTCAGTAGTTGTGTGATTTAGGGCAATGGCTTAATGGAGCGAATTTCAGCTTTTCAGCTTATTACATGTTAAGTTCACCTTTTGTCTTTCGTATTTAGAAATCCACTTGCACTAATACTCAATCTCAGCAAAGCGCTGTCTCACAGCTAGTAAGTATCTCAAGGGTATTTGTTTCCATACTTCTCCAGCATCCAGTATTTCAGGGTAAGTGGGTACTGTGTCTTTTATAAAGCCGACAGAATTTATGGTCAGGAAACGTTAGGTGGTAATCTTTTTATCCTTCTTGATGAATCAAAAACTAAAATTTTATTCTGACAGTTGC